CCTGTCTTAATGAAATCCATAATTACGCAACAAGATTCAGTCATCATCTTTACACACCCCAAAATCAGTTAAATATATGCCTGTATGGCCCTATTTCCAATGGAATTAGGCTTTACAACCACCTATTGTCAAAAATCGATCAGGATTCAGAAAAACGCTGAAAACATACTTACTGGATAACTCGTATTATACTATGGAGAAGTTCTTATCTTCGTAGTGAACTCTCTTTGCTCCATTCTAAAGTACATGTATTGTTTGCTTAATCTATCTTCAAATTTCTTTTGACTTGTTTTATACCTTTTAGGTATAAAACAATAAAGATTATTATTATTATTATTTGAGCATCTTTTGACGGCGAAATCTGCCTGACAAGACGCTGTCAAAAAGTAATATACGGAATTTTAGATTCTAGTGTGGCAATAGTGTGTCGTACCTTTTCCAGAAAATCGACTGTGGAGTGTAACGCAAATCGTTCAGCTAGAAGAACTGCTTTTTCTATAGCTGTTGTTCCAATTGAACCATCCGCTTGAATGATCTAGATCTATTGGGATTGGCAAGCAGGTTATCCCTAATTCTCCGATTGTGAAGTTTTTTGCGTTCATTTACCCTAAGTTTGCAGCTATTGCGAGCATTAACAACCCTAGTTCGGTATTTGGCACTGGTATTTTTGCGCCACTGCCGCTGTGAAAATTGTTGAAGTATATATTGAAATATATATTCTTCCGTTATTTACTTGTTGCTCCTAACGAACAATCCTCAAAAGTCAAAACTTAGTTGGCTAAGGAATCATGAGGTTTTACTTTTTAACGTCCGATATTTGGCAGTCTTCAGACGTCGTCCCATAGTAGGGATCGATCCTGCATTCACAATTGTGGTTGATTCAATGAGTAGAAGCCTCATCCCTACCAACTGGCTATCGTTTAACCTCGAATTTATTTATATTCGTTATAAAATAAGTAAAAAATATTCATGATAAACGGTTTTATTGAAAAAAAAAAGATAAAAATGATGCAGATGATGTTCTTGAAGCTGAAAAATTATCCGATAGGTTCTAGGCAGCAGTCATCACATCACTCTCCTCAGCAATCTACGGTATTGATCAGATAAAAAAAAATGATAAAATAATTGGGCGTAGTATGTAAATATGTAATCCGGCATTTTGTAGCTGCGGCCATTGTGGATTTACAATGATACTTAATTTATTGAATAGTATTGTCATCAAATGTTGATGCGTGTCCCAAATATCAGATCAATCTGTCAACAGGAAGGGGGTCAAACTTCAATTACTTAATTTGACCCAAACAAACAAGGCAAGTTGAATAAAACCATTCAATAAAGATTTGTTTACGAGTATTCGAAAATACATATAATTCCGCATAGNCTAATATCATTTCAAATGGTGCCCTTTTTTTAAGTTTTCTTGATAAGATATTTATCCTCATCAGTTGAATATTTTCTATTTATTTTGACTGTCACCGTTTGCCTACAGAAATATTGGGAAAAATTATAACAGAATGAAATAGATGTGTTATAGTGAAACCATTTTTGACTGGAAATTATTTCAATAATCCTCATCAATAAAATTAATGTCCCATGTTTATAATATTATTCAAATATTTTCATTTCAGATTGCTGGAAACGTCGTTACGTATATTTTAGTCGCTTTGCAGTTCCATGCCTCATTTTCTAAAAACTGAAGAAGTGGCTTAAACATTTTTATACCAGTGCTCACTTGAAGGTGTTGAAAAAGAAAGAAAAATTGTTCGCAGTAATCGTTAGTGGAGTGGATGCTACAATAAATAAGTTTTTTTCAAAAATGATACATGTCATAAAGGTCATCATCAGAGTTTGAGTTCGAATAATTTCATCAATATTGTACGAACACCATTTGTTTGGAAAATTGTGAATTTTAGGAGAAGATAACCAAAAAGGCAAAAAGTCAATGTTATGGGATAGATATGAATGAATAATTCTTGGAATGTGTCTCTTCGAAACGTTCAAACTGACTTGTTGGGTAAAAATCACCCAAAATCACTATTCATGATGATATTCTTGAATTGTTTCCATGAGAGCATGCACTGTGTGAAGATTCATTGATGAAAAATTAACTTGTGAATATTACATTACATCTTGTATCGATACTATTGGAACTTTTTTGGGTAATTGTTACCTTCCACGATCTGAAAAAATATAATGATGATATTCTTGAATTGTTTCCATGAGAGCATGCACTGTGTGAAGATTCATTGATGAAAAGTTAACTTGTGAATATTACATTACATCTTGTATCGATACTATTGGAACTTTTTTGGGTAATTGTTACCTTCCACAATCTGAAAAAATATAAAAATTATAATGAAGAACTTTATACAAGTGTAGAAGGGCAAACGTTTTAGTTTACCCCGACAAGTTACTGCGTAACGTATCATATACTTTCAAAACAAAAAATACACTGAGATCTATACTCACACATACAAAACCCAACAACACAGAAGAAAAAACAAAAAATTGTATTTATAAAATACCTTGTTCTTGTGGTTAATATTTTCGAAAAACATTAAATGGTTTATATATCAAAAATTGTTAATGAAATAGACGAAAGTCTTCTGGATCTATCTAACAACCAATCCACAAATTTACACAGTCACCGTAAGATCTCCATTGGGATCTTCTGACCACAAACTCATTTCAGTGTTGAGTGAATTACCGATAAATGTTGGGGAACAATCTAAGCCGCGCAAAATTTGGCATTACAGATCAGCTGAATGGGTGGATCTTTAATACCATTTCCAAAATTTCCCCTGGCTAGATCTTTGTTTCAGCCCTAAAAATCCATCAACTTGTGCTTCTGAAGTCACAAAAGTTGTTCTATCATCCATGGATGCATATATTCTTTTTTCAACGAAATGACCTTCTAACAGAAAACGAACAAAAATTGCAAACAAGCTTTCGCCTTCAAAAAACTCGCTTACCGGCAGAGGCGCAAAAATCCCAATGTCGAAAATTGAACTAGGTTTGTTAATGATCGCAACTTCACAATCAAAGAATTAGGTATAAACCGCTTGCCAATCCCAACGGGTCTAGATCCTTCTGGTCGGTAGCTAAAGCTGTTAATCAGAACTTCACATAATCCACAATTCCACCAAAACAGCCATAGAAAAAGCAAATGTACTAGCTGAACTATTGGCGTTCCACTCTACAGTCTATTTTCCGGGAAAGGCATCCACTATTTCCACACTAGAGTCCACAATGACTAAAATTATTTTTCGACAGCAAGCGTCTAGTCAGGCGAATTTTGAAACAGCTCAATATCAACAAGGCGTCTGGCCCTGACATAAAAAGTGCGCAAATGAACTCGCACCAGTATTTTGCAGACTTTTCAACCTATTTTAGAAGGAAGGGGTTTTTCCTTCTTGTTGGAAGATTGCTCGTATTCAGCCTATTTCCAAATAGGGTAAGAAAAATCTTTCAAATAACTCGACCAGTCGCTTTGCTATAAGTGATATAAAAAATCATGGAGAAAGTCGTAAGCCACCATATCCTCAAATATATAAAATGCTTCAATATCTTGAGCGATCATCAATATGGCTTTCGGAAACAAAGGCGGATCAACAGGCGATCTTCTATCGCATATCACCCATATTTGGAATAACGTAATCGAGAAACATGGAGAATCAAGAGCTGTGGCACTTGATATTTCTAACCCCCAACAAACTCATCCACGCACTAAGCAAAATTGTCTGTCTTGACATTATTTTATCCGGTTCGGACACATTCATCTTTTAGGAGAAAACCGATGCCAGAGTTTTTGTGGCATTGCATTAGACGTGGTTATTTTCACTCCAATTCAAAATTACTTCTAGATCCTCATCGAGATATGTAACCTCCTGCTGCCGGTGAAGATGTTTATCTGCCGCCGATACCCTGGAATCCAAATGGAATGACGAAACAAGTGTGCTGTCGTTGGGAAAGCGTTATATTGGATTTTTGATTTTTTCCAATAAGTCGTTAATATACAATGGAAAGAGGGTTGAAGACAATAATCCTTGGGGAACACCAGCGTTGATGTTGAGAATATTCGAGAGATATCCATCGACGGCCACTTGTACGGAACGTTGTTTCAGCATAGAGCCATACACAAAAATGATCCACCAGGAGCATTGAAGTTTGGCCAGCAACGGTCAAACGCTTCAGAAATATCAAGAGCAATAGCTCTTGACTCTCCATATTTCTCGATTGCGTTATTCCAAATATGGGTCGCCTGGAGGTCGCCTGTTGATCTTTGTTTCTGAAAGCCATATTAATGATCGCTCAAGATGTTGAAGAACAGCATGGATTCAGAAAATCTAAATCTACATCTACGGCAACCACAGATACATATATATACACATTTTCAATGAATTAGAAACAGTATGTACAAATATTTCGCAATGAGAATAGCGGTTGAAACACAATTCACCACTCTCATCTTGCACCTGTGGAAGTTGGAGTTCCTCAGGGAAGTGTTCTTGCTCCAGCTCTATTTTCAATCTACACAGCAGACATTGTAAAATACCTCTCACATTTTAAATTAAC